AATTTGTTATTTTTTAGATTTTATAAGCAAGTCAACAGATGATGTTGAATATGTTTATTCAAAACACTCATTACACATTAACATTTAATATTTTATTTTATTGATATTTTAATTTCCTATTAAGTACATTGCTTAATAAAATTCATAAAATAATTATCAATAGAAATATTCTTTAAGTATTCAAGAGGCATTAAACACCCCCTCATAATGCGCCTTTCAAAGAATTTGCCATGATGCCCTGAGGGTTGCAAATAAAGTCTTGAGAGGTTGAAGAGTCAAGGCAGGGGATGGAACTCTTGAAATCCTGTAGAATCGCGACAACAGAAACCTTCGTGGAAGAACATCTGGTATTAGGAGTGCTTAAAACATCAGAAGACTGGAGAGAGCACAGAGAAGATCTGTACTTGTGATCTGTGCTTCCCAGCACTCAGCTTACCTTATTCTCAACTCTGGTTGGTATGAGGATACCAAGTGAAGGTTTTAGCAGAGTGCAGGCCACCTGGAGGTGCTCAGCAGGTGTTATTGTAGTGGTCTGTGCAGTTAGAAGACACAATTCCTGTTCTTCCTTATGGGGCTCATTTTGGTCAGAGTGACAGGCAACACTTGCAGCAAGGTGCATATGAAGGGCTGGGATGGACTTAGGCAAGCCGCTGTCCAACACCTAACTGACCAGTGACTGCAAAGATTTTGGGCTCAGAATCTCTACACACTCACAAACTAAAGGACTCCTCAAGAGCTTTTTTTTTTGTATTACGGGGGATAGATCCCAGGGCTTTCACAGTGAGTACATCCTCAGCCCTTTAAAAATTTTTCTGACTCAGAGTCCCGTTAAATTGTCCGGACTGGGCTCAAACTTGCAATCATGTTGCCACAGTCTCCCAGAGTGCTGTAGCTACGCCTGTCTCCAAGACGTTCTCTTCACAGTATACGGTTGTATCTACTGGTATTTGCCATTTTTGAAGTTAAATGTAAAACATTTATCACTCAACAACAGCAAAACCCATTGAGTGTTACTGTAAGCAATAGATCATTAAAAATATATCACCCCAGCAAATTAATGAAAGGCGTGGCATTGTTTAACTTTTCTACAAGTACCCTTCATGCCTAGCCTTACAGGAGGCCGGGTTCCGTATTCATTGTTCCACAGTCAGCTCTAGCGGACAGGCGGGAAGACGCCCTGCCTCGCCGGACACCTCAGAGACGGCCGCTGGACGCTCCCGGCCCCAGAGACGCGGCCCGGGGGCGGGCTCCAGCTCCGAGGCGGACAGCGCTGCGCGGCACCCCAGGCAGAGGCCCGAGGCTAGGTTGCGATGCGGGCCTTCCTGCGATCACCCGGGGTCCTCAGGAAAGTGCCCAAGCGCTAGGGGCAGCTCAGAGAGGCGGAAGTCCTGCCCACCCGGCGGGGCGCGCGCAGGGGGCGGAGCCCTCGGAGCCCAGCGCGCAGGCGCAGCGGCTACGGCCCGGAACGGTAAACAGTACCGTCACGTGACACGCCGCTCCGCCCCGCGCCGGCGCACGCCGATGGCCGCGGGCTCTCCGGGCGCCTCGGGTCTGCGCGAGGCGGGCGAGCGTTGGGCCCGGGCGGCGGCGACTGCGTGCGCGAGATTGGCAGGCCGGGCGGCGGGCAGGGCCGGTGGCGGCGGCGCCCCAGGCCAAGGAGCGGAGGCCGCGGCAGCGACGCTGACGTCCCGCGCGCACCCCCTCGCCGCGGCGCCCGGCCCCTCCTCCGCGGCGGCCTCCATCTTCCCTGGCTGCCCGCGGCGGCGCGTCCGGCGGAGCGGGTGAGTGCGGTCGGCCGCGCGGGAGCGGGCCCTTCCCCGCCGCCCCCCTCCGCACGCACGGCGCCCTGCGGCTCCGGCTTGGGCTGCGGCTCTCGGGCTCGGGTGGAGGCGGCCCGGAGGCCGGGATTGGGGGCTCGGCCCCGGCCCCAGCCCTAGCCTGGCCCCGCCGGAAGCCGGCCCGCGTCCGCCAGGCCCCCGGGGTGCAGAGCCGCTGCCCTGACGCGCGCCTTTGTGCTTGGGCCTCGGGGCGCGGGGCGCGGGGCGCGGGAGGCCGAGCAGGGCCTCCCCGGAGCGCGGGCCGGTGCGGCCTCTCCCGCCTGCGGGCTGCAGACGTCTCTCTCCCGGCCTGGGCTGCACAGGTGTGACCGGGAGCGCCTCCCAGCAGTTCTAGCGTCCAGCCTGCAGTGTGCGGAGGGCCTTGGAAGGGACCCTGGATGATTGAACCTTCCCCCGGCCTAAACTTCACTGCTTTAAACATGAAATGTAGAAACGGTAGACGTAAACGACTTACATTGTACATTGTTATATTTAGTATTTTGGGGCCGAACTTTTGTCCACTGGTTGTTCTAGAGGCCAACTGCTTACCCACTACACCATACTGCCTTTTTGTCAACTGGTTGTTGAAGATCTTCTAGAACTACACATCAGTCGCACATTTCATTTCCCACCTTTTAAAAAAAAATTCTTGAATGAAACAAAATGTAGGTGTAGATGTGTTTCATAGAGATGTGAGTCACAGAACCAGGTTATTTTCTATTGTAGCATGCTTGTATTTTTGAATTTATAGCTCTGCCAGAGTACACAGGTGTCGAGTAAAGATTATTGTTATTCCAAGTGTTAAGTTTTTAGCTTTTATTACCTCTTAGACCTTTTCTTTACTTTTTTCTTCCCATTTTTCTGTTCACTACCACAGTGATTCTTCCCTAGGCTACCGTTATTATTATCCCTGTTGTTATTTTTAAATCTGTACTCTGCTTTTCAATGATAGTAATAATTTAAGGGGGACTTTTAAGAACTGTTGTGGCTCTGATTAAGCCAGAAAGTCATCAGTAAATTCCTTAAGAACAATACTTGTACTTAGATGAAATGGGCTACTTTAAGAATCGCAATTTTAGGTTTTCAGCTTTACTTGATAGCTGTACCAGTGACTTGGAGTGAAAAACAAGTGAGTTGGTGATGGGAGCAGTTTTCCCATTTTCCTTCTGTATTTTATGGGTCCATCGATTGAAGAGCATGAGAAGTGTAGTGTGTTATGTTGCTTTTGCATCTGTGTGGGAGAACAGTGAAATTCTCTTACACTGAATTAGTAACAAGTGTGTTGTTGGAGTGGCCTTAGATAACTATCAAGTTGATCTGATGGTATACTTGGGTGTTGTATATTTCACTAGGTCAAATCTAAGAGAAATGGCCTGTATAAATGTAGGTGAAAAATAGGTTTGGTCAGACAGCAGTTTCAAGTGGAAAAGTTGAAAGAAAATTGTAAATCATTTAAAATCATCTTACTAGAATTGAAATTATATCGAGTATTGAAATGAGCTAGGAAAGGTTGATAGTCTGATTTATGTAATGTATTATTGATAAAATTTGGAATGTAGCAAATGACTGTTTTGATTGTAAGCTATCTTATAAGATTTCAGACTTTTACATAGTATGGGGGATACGTGGGAAAACTGGTGAATGAAAATTATGAATATGGTTGTGTTTTGGATGCTAATAATAATATTTCCTTGATAGGCTCATATGCTTTTGAGTTCCTTTATAATTTTTCATAAAATTCTTTTTGGTATTTTTGGCAGCTTATATCTTTTCTATTTTTAAATGAAATAATGGAGCTTTATTGATCAGCAGTACCCAGATTTTTGTATTACCCATAACTAATTCACTACACAGTATCAAGGAGTTAGGGGTTCTTAGAGTGTGAATTCTAAACAGTATTCATTCATCCATCCACATTTTCAGTATTCTTGCTGACAGATGACTTTTAGGTTTTCCTTTCTAGATAAGATCTTGGGCTCTATTTCTTTTTTGTTTCTTCTTGGAGCATCCTCTGAGAATCCTGGACTGTGTTTTCAGAAGCACAGCCATCTTATTTTTTAAATTACAGAAATGCCTTGCAAAATGTTACACATTTATGATACAGTCAGAATTTTGTAAATAGTAAAAGCTACTTTCTTTTCATTTTTGCTAATTAATTACACCAGGAAAGCTACTGACAAATGATTTAATTAAAAATGTTTGAGACTTGGGTGCTGTTTCTACACTTAATGAATATAATTTAAGCTGGAGAATATGAGGTATTAAATCAGTGTATTAGAGGTTTTATTTTTTTTTTTTGGTACTGAGGATCAAACTCGGGAGCTTGCACTTGCAAGGCAGGTGTGGCAAGGCGCGGTGCCACTGAGCTAAATCCCTGGCCCTGGTGTATTAGAATTTAAAAATGCATTTCAAGAGTTATTAGGCATTGTACTAGGCATGGTACCACATACCCGCAGTCCTATACTCTGGAAGGCTGAGGCAGAAGGATTGAAAGTTTTAGACCAGCCTGAGTACCCTAACAACTTAGTGAGAGCCTGTCTCAAAATGAAAAAAAAAAGGGCTGGGGATGTAGGTCAGTGTGAAAGCTCTGGGTTCAATCCTCAGGACTGTAAAAAACAAAGACAGAAAGGAGTTACAAGGCATTGTGTAAACTACCAAATAAATTCTTATACATTATGTTTTTAAGTTAGGTATTTTTTAATGGTCAGAGAATTTAAACTATTTGTATAATGAGAACATGTAGAGGAATTGTTAGAATTTAAAATATTCCTCAGAAGTTTTTATTTGTGTGGATAATCTTTATTAGATAATTTTGAATGGGATAGGATGTATAGAAAGACTAAATTTAATAATTCACAGTTGGTGTGAGTCGGACACATGAAAACATGACACTTGTCTGTGAAAATAAATTACAAAGTTTTTAGTTGATAACTTGACTTTTCCTCCAGATGATACTGTTCACACATAACTGAAAATAGCGTTTTTGTTTTAGGGTGGCTAATTGTGTATTTCCTGCATTATTTTGAAAGAAGAGTGAGTCACTTTCGTTTTTAGTATTTTAAAGATTTTATTAGTATGTTAAAAGCAGAAAAATTAATACCTGGTATTTAGGTAGAGTGTATAAAGTCCAGTAGTTTAAAAGTGCTGCTTAGGAATCACTGTGGGTTTGAATTTGAGAATATTGGGTATATAACCTTTGGAGAATTGTGTACTTGCTTGGGCCTCAATTTGCTGTTCTGTAAAAGAGAAATAATAATTGCACCTACTTTACAGAGTCCTGGTAAAGAGCTAAGGAGATAATGCATACAATACACTTCCCATACATAGGACCTGGTACAGTATGTAGCAAGTACCAGTAAGTACATATTGGTGGACCTAGGCCCTAATTTCAGTAATGAGCTAGTTCCACTATTCTGTCATTAATTCAGTTGTCTGATGCTTCATAAAATGTCAGTTATAAGGGCAAAATAACTATATGCCAGTTTCAGCTCTACCTGGTGATCTTTGGTGTCTTTGTGCAGCAGACGCTTCATATCTTGGACTGTATACACCCTTTTACCAAACACTTTTGGAAAAGTTGTTTTGAGCCTTGCTTCCTTTTATGAGGTCTTGACAACAGATCCTAACTAATGAAGCTGGACCAGAATTTTGCTATAGGTGTGAGAAACAGGTGATGAGGGTGATTGCTTTGCTGAGTGTACTTTGTAGAATTGTATCATAACATGTGGCTTAACATTTACTAATTTTCTTGACTCTAACATGGTTAACTTATGACTCACCTTTAATGTTTTTTTGTCACAGTAGTGAAAAATTGACCTTGGTGTCATATAGCTGAATCACAGCTGTCATTTATTCTATAGTAATGAGTGTGACTTTGCTAGCTTTAGCCCTTCTCTTGTAAGTTGAGAGTAATAGTAGTACCTGCCTAATTATGTGATTGTGAGGATTAAATGGTATAACACATTTAGGTTGTTTACAACAGTGTCCTGCATAATAAACATTTTAAACTTTAAAAAAGATAACATAGGGTAGTAGTAAGCACATTGAGTCTTTTTTTGGGGTGGGTACTGGGGATCGGACTCAGGAGCTTGCAGTTGCAAGGAAGGCGGCGGCACCACTGAGTAAATCTCTGGCCAACGTTGAGTCTTGAATGAAATTTTCTGGGTTCATATTTTAGCTCTACCACTTATTATAGCAAATAACTTAATCTCCGTAATTCCAGTTTAATATTTCTGATATAATTATTAATAAAATACAGGATTGTTATAGTAAATGAGTAAGTGTAGAGCAGAGTTTCTTAGTCTCGGCAGTGTTGACATTTTCGCTGGACAATTCTTTGTTGCAGGATTTTTGTACAATGCAGTGTATCCTATTTACTGTTGCATGTAGTACACTTTCCAGTTGTGGTAACGGAAATGTCTCTGAACATAGCCACGTGTTCTCTGGCTTACCTTTTGCCTCTGACTGAGGATTTTACTGAGGCAAATCATGCATAACAGTGCCCCATGTGAAGTCAGAGCACATTATGTTTTTTTTTCCCTAGGTACTAGGGATCCAACTCAGGACCTTGCGCTTGTAAGGCAGGCGTGGTGCCACTGAGCTGCATCCCTGGCCCTACCACATTGTGTTTTATATTTTATTATTGGCGGTAGTTCATTCATTCATTCATTTCTTCATGTATTTATGGGTATGAGGGTTTGAACACAGGGCCTTTGCAATGAGCTACATCCCTCCCCCTTTTTTTGTCATTCCCAGACCTTTTTACAATTTTTTAGTTTGAAACAAGGTGATGCTAAGTTGTCCAGGCTAGGCTTGAACTTTTTTTTTTTTTTTTTTTGGTACCGGGGATTGATCTTGGGATCTTGTGCTTGCAGGGCAGGCAGCAGAACCACTGAACTAAATCCCTGGCCCATGGGCTTGAACTTCTGATACTCCCTTAGCCTCTCAGTGTGCTGGGACTACAG